GGTTGGTGTTCATTCAAGAATTTGATACATGTTATTTTAATCAAATTTTTGTCACTAATCTTGTTTCAAAATAGTAATTTTTCTTTGTCATATTGGTCAAGTGTTGAAATTTAGTATTTCACTTCAAAGAGAACCCATTTTTTAAATACATTTTCTACGAACAGTGAGTCACCTTATTTTTTTCTTCACCTGCAGGTTCATCTAACAGCAGAGGAGTGACAGTCCCCTCACAAAAGAGGAACTGTGTGAGAAACGGAGGTTCCGGGGGGTCAGTGAGATCAAAAGACGAGGAGTGCTTTGGTGACGGGACGAACGAAGACCTGGACACGGACTTTGACTTCGAGGGAAACTTGGCTTTGTTTGACAAGGCTGCCATTTTCTCCCAGATTGACGGAAGCAATGGTCACAAGGCACAGCACCACAGCACCCAGACTGAACTAAAACCCCAGTCCTATCGCCACGATGAAAACATTCTGGAGGGGAAACCTGTTGTTTACAAACAGATAACCGTACCACAGCATGGGGGCAAAGATTACTGCACTGGTAAGAAAAAATGTTTTCTCATAACTGGAGAATTACCAACATTCAGGCATTCCCTGTACTTCACCTGAACTCAACTTGTTTCTCATTCTTGAGTTTTAGGAACTTCAAAGAAGTTTTTAGTACAGATTCAGCTATCTTTGTTAGAAACAGAACATGGATGCAAGTCAAATTGTCTTCTCCGTTACAGACATCTAACAGAAACTTAATGACACATAATAATCTCACTGCAAACAGAACAATCGAAGCCTTCTCTTGGATAAGAATTGACCTTTCTGCAGTGTTGTAATTTGAGTCAGTCGTGTTTTCCAACTGCATACTCCCAAATCTCTCCCACCACCTTCCACCTCTTCTCCCAGTATGGAAAGATTTTTCAACTTCGTYCTTAGTCCACTAACAAGATTCAAGATGAGCTGATCATTCTCACAACACACTCCCGCAAAGTTTTCCAACAGCTCTTCATTCTCATCCTCCATTCTATTGAACCACCCTACAAATAAGTCATCCGGTATTTTTGCAGGGGATCTGGGTACGTTTTGTAAATTGCTTCTGTCTTTGTGAGGTATTCAATAATTCAGATGGTTATAGTTGTGTATTTTGGGACTTGAGTGCAGGCTGATTTGTGATAAAACACCGGAAAATCCAAGYACACAATCCTCATCATGCAGTCGGTTTTGTCTGGGGCAAACTGCAGTGTGTCCTGAAAAGTTCTTACTTAAGGAAAGCCTCAGCCACAGTCTCTGCAGGACTTACATGATATGACTCGTTAGGGGATCTGGTCTGTAGTTGTTAAGTGCAGATGGATTTTATATTTTTAGATACTGGCATAAAGCAGGAAGTTTTCCACTAGTCTAGGACCTTGTCCTGTCTCAGTTTAAGATTAAAGAAGTCCATTTTTTGTACCTCACCAGGCTGTGTAGATGTCAGCCTCATACAGAAGACAGGTTGTCTGTCAGACACACCGTCCTTCATGTCATCTCCATCTGCTCACAGGGTTCATCTTTGTCCGCTTTGGCTTGAGATTGGTTTCCTGTGATTGCCTGTTTACAGTCCTTCAATGTTGCTTCTGAACAGTGGATTTGTAGGTGGTGGTGAGAAGTACCGGATTATAATCTGCTGTTAGAGGGAGGGAAGAGAAGCTGCATTCTCTGTTGAAATTTTCATAGAGTAAGCTCAATATTTTATTTTGTAGTAAAATAGTTGACAAACTCTTTACAAGTTGAAAAGAAAGATTATTAAAATCTGAAGGGGTTGCTGTAAATTTTATTTACCGTTATTTAACCGGGCAAGTCGAGTTGAGATCACAGATCTCTTTTTCAGGGAGATTTGGGCCTGAAGACAACCTATTGTACATGTTTTTGGGGGTGGGGGGGAAACCGGAGTACCTGGAGAAAACCCACACAAGCACGAGGAGAACATGCAAACTCCACACAGAAAGACCCCAGGTCTGAACTGGGGTTTGAACCCAGGACCTTCTTGCTGTGAAGCATCGGTGCTAACCACTGATCCGTCAYGCTGTARATGYATTGTACTCCTGGKTACTGTTTAGATTTTCCTGCTCTGTGGTGTAAAAAATGATGCCTTTGTCCAACTAGCCAACTCAAGGATTGTTACACAAGTTAAAACAGACATAGAGGGATTAAAAGAGACAAAAACATGGATCCTGAAAATCAAGTTGTGGGAAAAGTGACTTTATATTTGAACTAGAATTTGCATGTGAAAATGCAGTATGTATGCTTAATGCTAAAAGATTTTTGCTGAAAAGCTTAACAATCTTAAATTAGTTTAAAAAGTAGCTGAAATTAACCCACAAAAACAGAATGAGCAGGTTTACTGAATTAGCAGTAAGAAGTTGAAATAATCACAAAATGTGAATTGAGCTGAAAAAACTCAAATTAGCTACAATGTTGCTACAAACTCAGAAAACAGCTGAAAGAAGCATAAATTGCCTAAAATAGCAGAAAGAATCTTAAAGAAACTCAAAAAAGCTGAAATTAGCAGAAGAATAGCAGAAAATGTCAGAATGATAGCTGAAGGAAATTGAAATTAGCTCAAAGAAGTTGAAAAAGCAGAACCAGAACAAAAGGTAAAACATACAGTAAAGATTTATAAACATTTTAAAGAGTTTTAAAGATGTTGAAAACAGCTCTATGAAAAAATGTGTCTGAAGAAGCTAAATATCTCTAAAAGTCTAAATTGCTGGAGTACCGAAAGTTATACAGGAATGTCCTGAAGTAGTTGAACGTTTTGATATATAAATTGAAAAAATAGCTTTTATAAGCATTTACACAATAAATTCACTGCACAGAACTGGATTTTGCAGATGAAAAAGGGTGAAGAACCGAAGGCCTGTGGTTCATTAGTTTGTTCAGATGTTACATCTCAACCAGCAAGATCAAAATTATTTTCATTGACTGTGAATGTTGAATAAARTGGGGAGCCAACCAAGAATAGGCTGAACTAATCTGACTTTTTATGARGTTCTGTTAAGAACTTTCTTAAACAGTGACGTGTGTTTAAAGGGGCAATATCATGTAAAATAAACTTTTTTGAGTTTTACATCATATAATAATGTTATACTCTCATAAAAAAACATGCCCAAAGCCTTGCACTGACTCATTCATGCATGTTTGAGAAATCCTGCAGCGTTTGTAGGCAGCCATGCTGAGGAGCAAAACGACAGGTGGGGACCAGAAACGCCCCTGTGACGTGTCGTTAAGCCGAACTTCCTCATGGCAGAGCACACGCCCCCCACCCCACACACCCCGCCCATGACTCCTGCAGGCTCTCGGATGAAAGTGAAAGTGAAACCTAACTGTCTGCTGAGCTCTCAACATTAGTGCTCACTCGGTGAAGCTCTTTTCAAATTAAAAATACCTTTGAGGAAATGTATTTTCAGATGCTAAGTAAACTGCATCATGGCAGCCCCCCCATCCCGGCACCGAAATGGGCGAAACGGAAGCGGAAGGTGGTTCTTACAGAGAATAAAAATAGCCTTTTAATAACCACTAAAGGTGACATAGATCCTTTATTATGGCATAGTTTTTAAATACAGTATATTCCTGAGAAACGCATAATATTGGCCCATTAAGCACTTTCAAAATTAATAATATTGTGACCAGTTTAATTAACATCTAATAAATATGTTTTTAAGTCCAAAACTGAAACCTGATAACTGTTAAAGAGAACAGGTAGTAGAATTTCTTTGAGAGCATATCAAGTACCTCACACACAGAAGCTGTCTCAAGAGGCTTTGAGCRATACCGGTGTACGTTAACACTCACTAAGTCAGCGTCACAGAATCAACTGAATAATAACAGCTGATTAGAGTCATGTGTTGCACAAATACATGCCAGTTCAGCTCTGTGATTATTAATCACTGATTAACTCTACTGTCATCTCAGAGGCATGTCAGCAGTGGGCTGACTGGGCCTCTCATTCTGTTTCTGTACCATATTTACATTATTTAAATTCATAACAAATAAAATCCAACTAAAAGGGTTTGCTTTAAGTGATAAAAACCCACTCAGTCTATATGAAGACACATTAAGTGGACAGTTTTGATGAGTTTTATGGCTCTGCTGGGCATTTAACAGAGGTTTGTCAAAAAGGAATAACCGTTTTTGAATTGTTTAACACTCTGTACAGGTGCATTAGGTATTGTTTGCATTTGTGTTACAGCTATTASTATAGTGTTTTCAATTTCTTTAATGAAAGCGGTCAATGAGTWCAAACTCATTGACTCATCAGGTACAAGTTGAATGTTTTACATTTACTCCTTCAGTGTCTCAACCTAACCTATTAAAATGGCGTCTAACCGAAACCTGTGGGCAGATCTCTGTAGAGCTTTGCATGCAAGATGGCACAAGATTCTTTCACAAGTGGAAGTCTTTTGCAGGAAGAATATCTAAAAATCCCCCGAACTAGAACGGCGAGATTTTCAGCTGGCAACAAAAGTGTTTTTAAGCTTTAATAGTTGCCAAAGGGAATGTCGCTAATGTTTTAATTTATATGGGGTAGAAATAAAAGTCACATGCAATWTTATTTTTTTGCCAGTAAAACAAATTACCTGTCTTTTACTTTCTTAATTCTCAGTTTTTGAGCTGCAAATTTTATGTTGTTTCTTGGACATTTGCCAACAAGATGACATATCAGTACCTGCTTCCCATTTGGTGGAGAGTTMCCAAGCAGAGCTTTATTTTCTCACCATGTAGACAGATACGCTTCCCAGGGCTGTCATCCTAATCCCCATCCTCTGCTCTCTGTAATTAGTATGCCGCCGTACGGCCTTACATAAACAGCTCTACAGCAGAAACAAACCGYGGCGCTCTTGACCTGGATTCGCTGCCAGTAAACAGATAAACCAACAATAGAAAAAGACACAGAAAGAAAAACAGTACCCAGCTGTTGGTTCCGTTGACATAACTCACTGACATGGGGATTTGGCGAGTCATTTTTTGAAAACCATTGTTTATTGTAGAAGTCTGTGAGTTTAGTTCCGCTATTGTTTTGTTTGGACCCCGCATGAAACTGCGGCGCAGACCAGCTAAACTGCAACACAGATTGTGATCAAGCCAGATATGTCTGGTTAATGTGATTTTTACACGACCTGCTGTGATAAAACAAAACGATGCACTTTTACACACAGTTTTTGCTAACTGTAGATCTTTATTCTCGTGAGTTTTCATTGATATTTGCTTGGTGCAGCTGACAACGAAGGCATCTCCTGTGATGTTGGACACTAGTGATTTTACCACATTGTTACATCTAATCTCTCATTTCTGCAGTGTGCTTTTGTTCTGGGTACAAACACCCTGTTTTGCTACCTACAAAATCCCAGCCTCAGGTTGTACACATTGCTCATATCCTGCTATCATGATTAATGTTCTGTCCTATCAGCTGTCATGCTTGAAAAACTTCTTCCAGCTTAGTTTATTTAAATGTCGGCCACCTGGTTAAACTACTTGACTGTTGAGGTTTTTTTTTTTCACACGTATCGTCAGTAGGTGCGTGCAGAAATCACTGAAAGTGTGTGKAGGAGGAGAGGATGGCGTGAGTACGGAGGGAGGGTGCGGGGGTTTAGTTTTGGTAGCGGCAACCTCAGAAGAACATCAGGTGAGGTGTTTAAAAAGCAGTTGGTGTACACTTAGTGCGCAACTCCCACTTCCTCTGAACTTGGCACTCAAGGCAGARCTTCGCATGACAGCAGGCAGTTGACTTTCCTGTGCTTATCGCTCGCACAAGGATCGGGCACGTTCCACATTTCTGCTGCCCACCAAAACCCATCAGCAGCCTTTGTGTGGTGTCAATAAAAAACAACGGGAGGGGTGCACAGATAAGCAAGTATTTTAGTCAAGTCTCTGTTTATATTTCGTTATCTTGCGGTAATTTGTGTGCGAGTCTGACCTGGTTGCGTGTAAACAGTAGTCATGTTATTAGTGTGAATTTGTGCATGCTAGTTAGACCTCCAAATTCTCAGCTGCTACGCCAGAGATCTGTAAGAGGCCGTAGGGAATAAACCGCCTCCCAGCAGCTTTATTTATCAAAGGGATTTTGAGTCGTGCAGTTCCCCCAGTTTGACTTTCATTACCCTCCTAATGTGCCACAGGCGGTGGACAGCAAAGGATTAGCATGAGACCTTTTAAAAAGTTTAAACAGGCTTCAGTTTGTGCAGCAATAAACAACTAACTTGTTCTTATGTTGATGAATTTATTCAAACGGTACACTGAAGAAAACAATTCTGACGATGCCGGATGATAGTAATGACAAATGGATTTTAACATTCTCCCAACAAACTAGACCTGCTGATGAGAGAAAACGCACAAATAAATAATTATCAACAATTCTGTCTTGGATTTTGACCTATCAAAATTAGTTGATAATCTATTTAACTGACTTATCATACAAAATCAAAATATATTTTTTAAAACACATTTATTATTCTCTCT